CCTAACCCCCTATAGATAGTTAACTCGCTAGAGACCTATCTACTATACTATATAGTTATAACACCTTACTATATATAATCCTCCCTAAATACCTAGCCTTATCTCCTATATAGGTATATAGTTAACTAGGGAAGGGTTAAAACTAGTAGGTAAAGGGCCTTTCTATATATTACGCTCTACTATCTAGACTATATATAGTTAATAATATCTATAAAGGTAACTATAAGAGGGGGTTATACTTAGTAGAGGGGGGATTAGGAGTAGAGTCTAAGTAGTACTAGTGCGCCTTAATAGTAGGCACGTATCTAGCTAGAGCGTATCTAGCCTATAGGTAACCTTGCTATATTAACTAGTAGCTATGCCTTGCTATAGTAAGGGAGAAGCTAGTAGGGCGTATAGTAGCGCCTAGAACGCGCTCTAGCTAATTGTGTTAAGGGTGTAGGGGGAGGGCTATAATAGAGGCAGGGGAAGAGGGTAATAATAATATAGGAGTAGATAGCTATAATTATAGTTATAGTTATAGGTATAGTTATAGTTTAATTAGCTATTAGGTCTATATATATAAAGTTGCTATACTATTATCTAATAAAGGTAAGTAGGTAGTAAATATAACACCTTAGGAGAGTACTTATAGTGCCCTAACTAATATCCTACTTATATAGGTAGTAATACTTAATAGTTATATATACCCCTTCCTATTTATAACTCCTTCTCCTCCTTCTCCTACTACTACTATAACTATAACTATAATAGTAGTAGTAGTAATAATAATATAACGCCTCTGCCCCCCCCCTCTAATAACTTCTAGGTATAGTGCCTTGCCTGCTACCTACTAATACTCTACCCCCCTACCTTCTACCCCTATAACGCCCCGCCTACCTACACGCCTAAGAGGGGCAAGGCGATATTACTATAGTAGGCACGTTGCCTTACCTAAGGGGAGTTACGCTCTAGGCGCTACTACCTAATCTAATAGGTAGTTACTACCTTAAGTATATATTATTAAAGACCTCCCCCTTCTAAGTATATATATCTATTACTATATCTATAAACTATACTAATAGGTTATAGTAATAAATAGAAAGGCACCTAGAGCACTAGGTAGTAGCTAGAAGCTATAGAAGGTAGATATACTAGATAGTTACTTTTAATAAAATTAAGTTTAGTCCCTTTTATATTAGTACTAGGTTAAGTCTAAAGACTTAATCTCCTTATATTATAAGGTAATATCTAGTCTATCTAATTATATATACTACTTAAAAATAAACTTACTAATATCTATAAATATACCTAGATCTAACACAAGTATAGGGCCTATAGTAGTATTAGTATATAAAGGTATAATAATATATTACGCGTTAAACTGTATAATCTTCTATTCTAGTATTTTATAGCCCTTCTAGTAGATATCTAGTAAATTAAAGGGTGTATCCTAGATAGGGTTAGATTACTATACTACTTAACTATCTATAAGTAGTAACTATATAAGATAAAATATATTATCTACTATATTATTAGAGGTATGCTTGCTAGTTATATTTTTGCTAAACATCCTTTCTATCTACCTCTAGAGGTTACCTATATACGCGCTGTATAATATAGTCTACTAGAATATATATTTAATATTATACGTAGAGTTTTTCTTATTATAGAGGTCTAGCTTATAACTACTATTAATATACTCTAGTATAAGATTAATTAGCTTAAACTTACCTAGTAACCTAGTTATATTTACTAAACTAGAAGCTAAGATTAAGTGTTAGAGGATATTATTATTAATAGGGGATAGGTTCTAATAATAATATAGTATCTTTTTTACGTAATTCTATTAGCTAGCGCTATAGAATATAATAGCAAGGGGGTCTATAAGGCGCTAGAGCATACTAATATTACCTACTCTTATAGTATAGCGTAGAGTAAGGAATAACTCTACCTCTTATAGGAGGTAATATATAGAATAGAAGTCCTTATTAGGATAGGGACTCTTCTACGCCTTATATAATAGAATAGACTAGTAGATATCCTTAACTATTTATATAAACTACTCTAGGGTTAATAGAGAGATAACTATATCTACTTCTTTAAAGCTACTAGACCTAGAGCTATCTACTATTAAGACTCCTATCTAGACTATATAATAGTAAAAGAGAGATATAATCTATACCTAGTATCCTTAGGTAATAATAGGGTCTATTAAGTAGAACTTTGTATTATCCTAAGTACTTATTATATAGCCCTATTATATTATATTAATTATAAGGCAGTAATCTAACTTTAACTAGCCCTTCTTTAGTGCCTAATATATATAGATAATAGTGTTTAAAAGGTTTATCTATATATAAAACTATACTAACACAGGCTATACTTATTATTACTAATTATAGGTATAATAAGCCTGCTAGCTTTTATATATAACTATATAGATATAGTTAATAGTAAGTTAGTTACTATATAGGAGGAATATCTACTTAAGGAAGATATTATTAGGTATAAGGTTATTATAGATCTTATAGCCTAACTAATCTAGAAATATATTATTATAAATAGTAAAGGTCCCTTCTATTAAGCTCTTATTATATTTAATTCCTATAAACTAGACTATCTTAGTCTTATAAGGTAGTAGTATATTAATAGTAAGAAATATTAGCTCTAGGTCTAGATCTTGCTTAAATATACTATATACAGCGCTTAGATAGAGATATTACAAGGCGTCTATAATTAAGAACTATAATATCTATACGCCTATATTATTACCCCTAGATACTGCTAGGCTTAGAATAATATTAGCAAGAGATAGCAGGAGGGTTAGGTTATATATACCTTAATATAGACTACTAACTAGAAGTTCTAGATATATAATATATATAGCGTTAGTAAATAACTAGAATACTACTTAATTTCTAATATCTTTATAGCACTTATAATTAGTAAAGTTAATATTATTATAAATAATAACTACCTATAGATCTAATATACTAGCGCGTAATTTAAACTATACTATATATTAGTATATACTATAGGTACACATTTATAGTTATAAAGAAGAGGAGGTAAGGCTTGCTAGTAGGTAGGCTTATTAGTTAGCCTAGGAGGTTATAGAAGTTTAGAGGACGTAAGGCTTACTAGCAGGTAGGCTAGTTAGTTAGCCTAGGAGGTTATAGAAGTTTATAGAAGTTTAGAGGAGGTAAGGCTTAGTAGGCTTAGCTAGCCTAGGAAGTTTATAAAAGTTTATAGAAGTTTATAGAAGTTATAGAAGTTTATAAAAGTTTATAGGAGGTTATAGAAGACTAGTAGAGGCTAGCCCTACTAGTAGCTAGGGAATTATATAAGTTAAGAACCTAGCGTTATATATACTATAGTAAAGTTAGCTAGCCTTAAGGCTTAGGTATTAATATACCTATATAAATATATAAGTCTAAGGCTAGATAATATCTCTATAACTTATTAAGGAACTCTAGAGGCTTAAAAATATAAACCTAAATATATAATAAATATATTAGAGCTCTCCTAGGTAAATAAATAGTATAGAATTATAGTAACTAAGAAGAGGCGCTTTATATATATAAGAGTTATATTACTAGCCTAGTATAAGGTTAAAAAGGTATATTAGTTTTATAGATACCTATAGAGTATATAGTATAAAATAGGAGTGTTTATCTTTATAAGATAAGTTATACTACTAAAGTTAAAATCCTCTACTAGGGTCCTAGTTATATATACTTTAAAGGGTAGTAACTAGATTAACGCGCTTAATTCTTGCTAATACTATATAATAATAGGCTACTCTTTAAATATATCCTTATTATAAAGCTCTAAAAAGATATCCTCTATAATCCTATATTACTTCTTAATAGTATTATATTATTAACTAGTAGATATAACTAAGTATTTATTATCCCTAATACTAGTAAATATAGATATAAATATCTTAAATAACTACCCTATTTCTCTAAATAATAGGAGGACCTTATTTATCTTTATATCTTTACTTATATAGTAAGTGTAGGAAGAGAATATAGGCTATCTATTAGAGGTAGATCTTTACTATATATAATTAAAGGAGGTACGTTTAATAGGGGTGCTATAATAGCTCTAGTATAGTATACTAAATTAAGAGTATCCTTATAGTAGCGTAAAGTTAATAAGTAACTAACTAGGCGTCTTACTATCTAGCCTAGGTCTAATAGGGGTAATAGGTATATTAAATATTATTAATTATATAGCATTAGTAATATAATAATATACTATTTCTAGACACGCTAAGTAATAGTATATAGTTATAGAGATAGTAAGGGGTAATAAAAGTTATACTATAGAAGATAGGCTATTAGATAGTACTAGTAAGGTAGGAAAATAATATAGTTAAAGATATAATATATAGTATTAAAGGTAGAATCCTAGCTACTAATAAGTTAAAATCACATATTACTAAACTAAGCCCTAGTTTCCCTTAGACACTCTAGCTAAAATAGCTATTCTACTATCCTATTAGCCTAGAAGTTTTTAGAAGATAATTAAATATATTCCTGCCCTCCTATTAGTTTAGAAGTTTATATAAGTTTACTAGCGGCGCGCTTGCGTGCCACTAGGCCTAAATAGGATAGGCGGAACGCCAAATTTCAGTCAGAGCATCTGATTCATGAGATAAGTCCTAGCGGCGTTCCAAAGTTGCCTGCAGCTGGCCTCGGCGGTGAGCGGAGGCACAAAGAAAGATGTCCATGCGCGTCAAGCCCCCATGCCTCACTATCTTTGCCAGAACTACACCCAATATTTACAACCATCTCCAGCGGTACTCTTAGTTCTGCGTTCCAATTTCAATATATAGACCTACATACGGCTTTATACACTCTCAGCCGCCTTTTCACGCTCAACTTCATTCTCATTGTTCGTGCGCAGGAAGGAACTTGCATCCACATCACTTCAACAACCTACCAGACGCCCATCTACAATGAACGCGCCAGACCGGTACGTTACTGTCTTTTCTTCTTCTCTTATTTCTGTCAGATATCCTGTTGTAGCCGGCAAGCGCACGCCACGATGTCTACCTAGGGCTTTGGAGATGATGCGATTCAAGTCTAAAAACCTCACCTTCACTCTCACGGTGAACAACACCACCCGGTACGAGCACGCGTGCCGGCGCGCCCAACATTATATGATGGGATGCGGCCGCATCCCTTCGGGCAATGTACACACGACGCAAACGCACATAATAACTATAAACAATCGACGTCATCTCCAAAGCCCGCGCAATACAACAGGATGTCTTCTGGTGACACTGAAGCGCCCACTCAGCACTCTCGCCGGGGCGGGTTATACAGACCCAACCGAGGCCATACTGATTCCGCGCATCATACTAACGACCATGTCCCCGCCAGTTTTGAGCTGTTTCTGCTAGACGACGGCCAAGCAAAGGTCGAGACCAAAGAGGAGACTCGTAAGTTGCGCCTACAAGATGCCCCTCTTGCCCCACGTCTCTACTAATCCGCGTGCTGGCAACAGGCGTCCCTCACACGGCCATCTTCACGTTCAACAAGGAGGACCACACGCTGGGCAACCTCCTCTCACAACGCCTCCTCAAGTATGACCAGGTCATGTTCGCTGCCTACAAGGTCCCGCACCCGCTATTCGCCATGTTCGAGCTCCGTGTTCAGACCGATGGCTCGATTACTCCCAAGGATGCCGTGGTTCGCTGCTGCCGGGACGTGGTACAGGACTTGCAGAAGCTCAACGACAGCTTCCAGCAGGAGTGGTTGGGCAAGCGCATTGTCAGCGAGGGCGAGGCGGAGCGCCAGCAGCGCGAGAACAACAACTACTAGACTGCGTGTGCAGGTGTAGTTTCTGGGAGCGGGATCGACTTGAAAGAAAATGCTTTCGCGGAGTCGTTCATGGCCAATCATTTGCAAGGCGTTTCACGGGTGATCAACATGGACTTTACGATCTGGCGTTATGGATTGCGTGGAGGAGCATGTTTTTTGTCTTGAAGACTTGCGCAAGTGGGAAACCTTTTGAGGCTCCCTGTACGGCACACTCACATGGCTCAATATACCCCAACATTCGGCTTTTAGCCGGATTCACATTGATTTCTCCCCCCCCATGCTCATACGAGGTGATGTGATGTTTCCTAGCAATGACCAGTCCTGACAACATCAGGGCGTGAATCGAGAGACGAAGAAAACAAGTAGTTTTAATCAAACATGATCAACGAAGGACTGAGATCAGAGTTGCATTAGATAGAGGATTGATGATTATTCCGTTCTCAAAAAAAGACACGTCTAATCACTGTCATCATACTTGTTCCCCAATCCTACGTCGCCCAACAAAATATCATCTGGTGCTGGACCCCTGTGGTTTCTCACCCACTCACACTCGACCCTGAAGAAAATCCACACCCATCTCCTCAGTACTTCCAAAACCTCCATTGTGAATATGCCGCCTTCGAGATCATTGAAATGATCCAAATGCACACTCAGCTTCAAGCTCCATGTACACCTCAACAAGGCATCCAAGATAATGGAGGCATAGTAAAACTCGTTTGCGTGGAACCAGCGATGTCTTCTCAAGCCCCACGGATACTCGGGATTATTGCGCTCTCGTGAGCTTGAGAAGAGGGTAAGGTCCCAATCTTTGGCAACGTCCCAGTAGAAAGAGTATCCCGAGTTGATGAGCACAGCGACGAGCCACATACGGAAGAGTGTTTTTTCCGAAAGGCCCAAGGAGGAGGGGTCAGGGGAGCGTTGGAGGGCGGAGAGGATGATGACGGGGAATGCGGTACTGTATTTCAGCGCGTTGGCGAGGTGTTGACCGCCCCAGCCTGTGGAGCGGTCGATGCTGCCTGTGCGTTTGTTTGCGGCTTGGACGCGGTAGTATTCGGTGATGCATTGGCGGAGACGGATGAGCGAGGGAACGCTAATGATGAAGGGAACCCAGAATGCGCCGCCGCAGCTTCGATTTGGCGGGCCGGTTGAACTTTGCGAGGAGGAGAAGAACATGCAGAGGGAGATGAAGAGGTCGCCGAGGACTTTTGCGTAGCTTGTCAGGGCGTCGGCGAGGAGTATGTCACCAAACTTTCCATCTTGAGCCTCTGCAATACCGCCGACGGAGATGCGCTTCAAGGTTGTGAGGGTGCGAGAGCGGCCGGCGCGCGAGACGAAGGGAAGGGGTACGATGAAGCTAACAACGAGGACGAGAAGATAGAGGTTTGGGAGGATCTCCCATGCCGCAATGTCTTTGGGGCTGCCATGGGTGAGGGACCAGAAGAAGAGGAGGGAGAGCGCGAGGGGTATGGAGAGGAATGTTGCGATGCGGTAGCAGGAGAGGTGGTGTGGAGGGTGGTGTGGTGAAGTGCGCCCGGGATATCGAATTAGGCTCGGGACATCGATCTTGATCAGGGAGAGGTAGTGAAGGTTGAGGCCCCAAGCCCAGATGCCTGGGGTGAGCGAGTTAGTTTGGGCTTTAGACGGGTGTGTGCACCACACTGGGGGAGATGGGAAAGAGAGAGAGAGAGCAGACGTACCCAAGACGATGATGAGTGCCACGCGGTAGGGCAGCGGCAGTACTCGGCTGAAGCCATCAATATCCAGCTGCACATGCAAGTCACCGCTGCTCATCATTGGCAGTCAATCATGAAGGCCTGCAAACGAGCGTCGGACAACTGGGAACTGGGGCACTGGACAAACTGGACACGTTCAGGGTGAGAGAAGTTCAGCTCCTCCTCTTCACCAGAACCAGAACCAGAAGCAGAACCACCAGAACAGGACAGCTCGAGGCTCGAATTGGCGCAAGGGGGTTTGTTACCAACAGCGTGAGACCAAAAGATAGCGTGTCCACTTCGCTCTCTTCCTCTCCTCTCTCTCTCCCCCCCCTGGTCTCTGACAAGCCAAGCCTGGAGATTTGGGGAAACGACTGAGCCACAGCCACGGCCACAGCCATGGAAGGTCATCATCTGCTTATGTCAGCTTTCAAACTGTGGCTGATGGCTTCCTTCCAGCCCAGCCACACGCTTAGCCCATTTGGGCCGGATGCATCCAGACCTTGGAGCAGGCAGTTGACCGTTCTTCTGGGAGAGGGGAGCTTTGCCTAAAGAGCGGTACCCATGACGCGATCATCACGATCATTGCCACGACAAAGTGACGCTCCTCCGCCGTATTGTCATTGGATCTGGGTTGCTATTAGCAATCGGCCTGAAATCCAGCATTCCCGACTTCACACGGTTGACCGTCGCTGTCCTCTCCCCCATAGAGGATCTTTACTCCACATTCCAGTACACAAGTCCACGACCATCTTTGTCTCGCTAGACTCCACCATCTATCTACGAAGCCAATTGACCCTCGACAATTCATCACCTCCCACACACACATACACACTCTCTCTCTCCGTATTGTCGCGACACACCATAGCTCTATATTCACTGGCAACTCGCCCCGTCACACCACCACACCGCAGCCATGTCTCCTCTCTCGGTTCCCAAGATCTTCATGGCCGGCGGCGCCGTAGGCTTCGGCTACTACCTCTACATGCGCCAATACTGGTTCCCAAACCCGTACAAGACTCAGGGCGTGCAAAACATCGAGGATCGCTTCTCCGCAGCAGGCGGTTCCCCAACACACACACCAGCTGGCGGCAGCAAGCTGGGTACGAGTACTGTTCTTGCCCGTTGCACGCAAATGCAGGGAGCCAGTCAGTGCTAACAGGACACACAGGAAGCACAACGGACAATACGAGTAGGTACGAGAGCACCAACAAGGGAGGCCCTGAATCGGAGCATTTCAAGGCCAATATTTCGGATCAGCAAAGTGAGGTGTGTGATGCCCCGACGAGTCCGACTGGAGAGTGCGGATAGAGAGACAGGGCCCAATGCTTATACTGACGCGTTCTACAGCCTGTTTGGCCGCAGAAATTCTACGAGCAGCAGTACAATAACCCAAAGGGCAAATAAACGCATCACCTACCACTAACCATCACCCCCCACCGACCCGACTCAGTTATCGCATCAAGCAAGATCCACACACCTCGGACTGGGGAGGTGCGTGTCAAAGCAACTGCACATTGTATCACTCGATACTTGAAAAGAGACAGAAGTCTCGAGGTCGAAATTATGTAATTGGCCTATTTACAATGTAAAAGATAAAATATCAAATAAAGGCCGCCTTTAGCTAGGTCCTGTCTAAACGCAAGACGATCGAATCAAATCAAGCAATCAACATGACCTGGCCATGTTCCCCTTGATTTTTGCATCAACAGAGCTGCGATTGACATCCATCCCTGAATAATGTTTCACATGCCAAGTCAAATGACATGGGGCATGCTGACTGAAATCAACATCATCAGCCTCTCCTCGACAGGACTGACGACCAGTCTATTGGGTCCACTGGCTTCTCTATCATCATTCAGCATGTCACCGACCTACATCGCATGCAGCAGAAAATACACACACACACACACATATATATATATATATATATATGAATTCACAAACACATACATACACATAGACATGGACAAACATCGTTGCTCTCGCTTTGCTAAAGAATAAAAAGCGCATAGGATGAATGCTTGTTTGCAGGCCTACCTCCCATCCCCCACCACCAGCATGACCTGAATAGCTGTAACACGAGCGCCTATAAACGCCAACCCGTTCTCTCCCCGCTTATCCTTTGACTGCATCGACCAGCAAGATTTCAATCCTAGTATCAATAGCAAGGGAAGATCTATTGGATGCTCCACACCGACTAGCTACACCCTCGCTCAGTTTTTTTTGAAATCGCTAAGAAGAAAAAAAAGAGGGAAAACATTAAACTATATACATCCCACACGCAAAACGCGACTAGGACGGTCCTCTCAAAGGTACCATGCCCCCATGTCGTGCTGGTCGGGTTTGGATCAAGAACGGTTGATTTGAGCCTGTTGCATGCCTGGGCTTGGTTGCATTTGTGGGTTCTGCGGCGTTGCGCTCCGGCTCGGTGGACGTGGGTTTACGCCTGGACTGCCAGCCTGTTGCCGTTGCTGTTGGCTCATTAGACGTTGTTGTTGGACGAGCTGTTGCTGATAGTTCTGTACCGGGTTGGGCTGGGGGTTGCTATTCATGCCACCATGTTGTGGTTGTGATGGCTGTTGTTGTGCCATATAACTGTGATTTCCGTTTTGCACAGAGGGATTGATGCCAGAGGATCCAGCTGCCGCATTCATTGCCTGGGTCCGTTGCTTGACTACGAACCGGTGCACATAATCGCTGGCCACCTTGTGAATTTGTTCGGGGGTCCAATCCGGATGTTGTGCTTTGAGTTGAGTTTGATACTGTACATACTGGGGCATGTGCGCATTGGACAAGGATCGGGCAGACGTCTGCTGCATGCTGGCGTTACCAGTCATTCGCGGTGATCCAGCATTGTTGGCCATGCCATTCATGGGTGTATTCACGCTTCCGTTCATATTGCCGTTGAAGCCCGGGGAGGGTACATGCGCCATCATATTTGCGTTTGGCATACTGTTGATGCCCATGCCCTGTGCAAGATTGGAGGCCATGTTGATCTGCTGTTGTTGCAGTTGGAATTGTTGTTGCTGCTGATTGGCGTTCTGCAAGTGGCCTCTTTGCATGGCCATGCGCATTTGTGGATCTGGAGGTCCCATACGCTGTGCATTCTGCATGTTGCCCTGCATCTGTGCTTGTGGTACACCTGGCGTACCCATACCCATGCCGCCCATATTGCCGTTAGCAAAGTTGGCTTGCATGCCCTGTTGAGACTGATGCGGTCGAGATACCATTCCACCGCCATTCTGACCTTGTTGAGCAGACATATTGGCCATTTGCGCAGACATGTTGGCGTTGCCTGCAGGTGTCCCGTTGCGCTGCATCTGGTTCATGCCATTGGCCATGCCAGGTTGCACCTGCATCTGGGCTTGACGTTGTGCTGCCATTTGTTGCTAAACATGGTCAGCAGTGAAAGTAGAAATGTTGAGCTGTACTTACTCTAACCATCATCTCCTGTTGCATTTGCCGCTGCTTCATCTTCTCTTCACGTTCCCACTTAAGTCGGCTGAATTCTTGTGGAGTGTGGACATTGCTCTTTGGCGCCGCTGGTTCATGAGCTTTCCTGAGTGCAGCAGCCTTCTGAGATTCCGCTTGCTTGTGTGCAGCAGATTCACGCTTCCTAGCGAGCTTGCGCATTCCATCGATGATAGCGAGATGTCTATTCTCCCTTCTCCTCTCAACACGTATCGGCGTTGTGGTAGGGCGTCTCCGTGGTTGTCCTGGGGTCTGACCCTGCTGCTGCTGCTGTTGTTGTTGTTGCTGAGCCTGAAACTGTGCATATACAGTTTTATTGGCAGCCTCCAAGCGACTCTGGTACGTGCGAAAGTACTGCGTCTTAGACATTTCAGCAGGCAGACCTTCGAGCTGAACCCATCGCTCAAAACATTCCCATGGCGTCCTTCTACCAGACCCAGACACGAATTGCGATGGTAGGGAGAGTTGCTGGGAGACAAGAGACCAATTAAAAGTGTACTCTTTGACAAGAGCTCGGAGCTTCTGGTCCTCTTCCCATAGCCATTGCGAGGGGGTCCTGTTCTCGAAGAAAGCGACAGAAGGCATGTTGAATTCGGTGGGGGGTCTGAACTGATGAGCAGCTTGCAACCGATCACGAACATGTTTGTTCTCGGCGTTGAAGAGTGCAACATCCGTCATCTCCGGAGGCAAATCGTTTCGACAGAATAGTCTCCGACCTGGAGTCGATGGCATGGAATGTTCTGCGGAAGTGCCAGATCTGCTAGGTGGAGAGGATGGTTCGTCCTCGGAGTCGTAATCGAATCGACTTCGCTTCTTTGGTGGGCCTCGAATTTGGGAAACAAGCTTACCCGTGACAAATTTGGACACGGGCAGGATAGGAGGCTCTGAGATTGAAAAGGGATTCGTATCACTAGATCCTTCAAGCATGGGCTCGTAAAACGGTAGTTCTCTAAACATGGTATCGCTAGCGGGTGTTCGTTTGATCTTCATGACAACATCGTTGAATCCCAGAGAGAAAAGAGCAGCGGGTGGGGTTGCATTTTGAGGAGTTAAGAGTTCGTCGTCGTCTGCGTAGGACTCGGTCTCTAGCTCGTTTGAACCGGCATGGACAAGATCCGGCGTAGGCGCATCGTGCATATCTTCGTCTTCATTGCCGGTGCGTCTTGCTGATTGTGGGATGTAGGCGTTTATCTTGAGTGACGTCCGTTGTGTGGGTGTACTGTTGACGTATTCTGCGCACCATTCTGCGAATGACGCCGCAAGACTCTTCTTCCATTTCCTCTCTTCTCTGAAATCCGTCTGCATCCACTTCATCTCCAAGAGTAATTGATCCTGATGTGTAAATGGACGTTCAGGCTCGACCGCTTTCTGGAGCTGTCGCAGAGACCATCGATTCGCATTTTGCAGTTGATAAACTCTCTTCAGAATCTTATAGTCTTGTTGTTCACGGATCATAGCAAGCGTACCAGCGGTAGAAACAGTCTTGCGTGCCGAGCTTACCAATTCCTGCAAAGGCACAGATCGTGGTGGATGATGGGCTTGATATTTGAAGAGACCTTCAAGATAGTCGCGGCTCGAGTCTTCTGAGGCGCCTTGCAGTGATGCATAGTCCTCGTTATAAGACTGTAGAGCTTTGGACGATCGAGTCGGCGTTTTCTTTGCGAATACGACAGTGGATACTTCGCGTGACTTGCGTTCACCCGTTCTTGGTCGTCGTGGGCTGATGGACGCTGAAGCATTGCTGGAGCGAGGGGTCAGCATAGATCTAGGCCCCGACCTTTCTCCCATGATCTCAGAAACAGACTTCTGACGCATGGCACCTGAAGAAACACGCGTAGTCATTCGTTCAGGTCTGGGTGGAGGCTGGGGCGAGGCAGCCATATGTGCCGGCGTAGGTGCATCATTCATCTCAATATCAGCATCGGCAGGCGGTGTTGGGTGGTCGAGGGCTGCAGCATCGCCATCAGATCCTGCCATGTCGGTATGGTGGTCACCCATATTAGACGGTTCAGGTGCAGTGGTCGTAGGTGTCAGCAAAGAGTCGGCTGCCGGATCGTGCACCTTCTTATAACCAGCCAGCTCCTCCTGCGCAGCCGTCGCTGTTCTCGCTACTTCGTTGGCATCCTTTGTGAAAGATTGCGTCGCCGTAGAATTCGCGCCGCCAAGATGAATCTTTCCATCTCTTGCCAAGCGTATTGCTTGCTCATCTTCAATCTGCTTTTCAATTTCTGGAGTTGGAGAATCGTTCTCGCGCCCGCGTGCTTGGTCACGGGCCTCCTTCATTTGCTTCTGCAGGGCACGTTCGTGATCTTCCTTGACTTGTTGCGCGGCGGGATCCAAAATATCATCTGCCCCTAGTCGTCCAAGGCCATGGTCGTTGTAAGACTCCGAGTCAGGGCTAGTGTCTGGAGAGTGGTGAGCCGCATGTGGTGTTGCTTGCGAGTAGGGGCCGACGGTTGACGATGGCGACGACACATCAACGGCTCCACTGACATGTGTCTGGGCAGCATGTTCGTCCTCTTTCCTTTCTTTGTCCGCCACTTTCTCCAGCCTGCGTTCCGTATCTTGCAGCTTTGCTTCTTGGACATGCTGGGGTGGCAGGTGTACAACCTGAGGTGGCTTCTGTTTCCTGTCGGTAGGAAGCACAGGCAGCGATGTAGAGTCGACATCTTCGGGCGTCGTCAACACTGTGGCACCTGGCTGAACGGAGTCGAGACTTCGGCTCTCTACCTCTTGGACGGCGGGTGCCTGAGTAGGTTGGCCAGACTTGGTCGTGTTCGCAATTTCCTCATCGGCAGCCGAGGCACTGTGCAAGGAGGCCCTGCCTCGATGACCGACTGGCGTTCCAACCGGCGGAGGTGGTGCTCGTTCTGGAGGCAGTGGTTGGTCTGCGACCGCTGGCGACGACGATGCAGCGCGCAGCTGGTCCTCGAGGCTGGGTGTGCCAACAACTGGCGATGGCGTCGATGCAGGGAACTTGGAAACTGGAGCCTTGGAGGGCAGTTGAAAGGGGAATGTAGCGGGTAGAGGTGGTCGTTGGTCGTCCTCGAACGTGATATATGGCAACGTTGTTTCTTTGAAGCGCTGCCCTCTGCAAACACGATCATATGTCAGTGGAATGAAGCGAAGACAACAACGGGATGTTGCATGTGCTGCAGCCTGTGTTTTTATTTTTGCTTTTCTTTTGTGTCGACTTGTTTTTTTAAAAGATAAATTAAACTAGGGATCAGGTGTCTTACCTTTCAATGTCACACTGGTCGAGAAAGCGGCCCTCGTCGTCGTCGATGTCGTTGTGCGCGAAGTCGTCTACACGCGGCTGGTGGCCTGCGTGGAGGGTGGCGGCGCAGCAGGCAGTGATCTTGTAGAGGGAGCGCAACTTGCGTTTCCGCGAGCCCAAGCATGCTCTAGGGAAGGATATCAGCACAACAACAAATCGAAAAGTACATGCGAGCGACTCAAAAGTGTCGCATTGACACGGAGAATCCAAAAATCGGCACAGTCACGTTGTAAAGGCAGTGTTGGGGGAGATGGCACTTACTCAAGTTCATGTCTCTTCTCTGCGAGGATGGCATCACGCGGACCGTGGACGGACATATGAAGACCGACGAGCGGAGGCCGACATCCGTTATCCACGAGTGTCGCCGTGTTGATGAATTATCGGGTGCTGGAGCGTTGATGGTTGATGATAACTTTGGTTTGGAACGCTCGCAACTGATGAGGGCTTCCGCGCAAGAGCGTCGTGAGGGATGGAACCAAGCGGGCTTCCACGCTCGTCACCCCTGCCGATAAGCTCTGTCCTATCCGCACTCGGCTAGCCGTGCCGCAGGAATAAAAGTTTCTGGATCTCTACAACCTTCTTCGTCGAGACGGCGAAAGCAAACCGCACTTCGCTTGCTTGCCAATATAACAATCATAATGGCCAAAAGAAAGCGGGGTGCCGCTGAAGCAGCCGGCCAGCCAAGGGCGCCCAAGAGCAGGAAAGAAGAGCTTGCCATTCACCCGGCCAAGGCAACTGCGCCGCCCAACGCCAGCCCATCTACAGTCGCGAGCGAGGGCAGAGCACGTGTAGTCGACCAAGTCGCGAAATCTGGAGACGCGCAATTCGAGACGACCACCATCCAAGTCGTCACTGGATCTTATGAGAGAGTGCTTCACGGCTTTGCAGCTGCCATCCCCCAGACCATCGTCACGGGGTCCAGCAGCGCCTCTACGCCCGAAGCCGAGCAAGCAAAGGTCGACTTTACTGACACATTCCTCTTCAACGCACATGCCTCTTCCATCAGATGTCTGGCCATCTCCCCAACCTCAGACGAGACGTCCAAGGTCACCCTTGCGACAGGCAGTACAGACGAGCGCATCAACCTCTACTCCATTTCCACCGTCCCCCCCCGAATGGCCTCGAAGAACAAACTCAAGCTACCCTCCCTCCATGGCGGATCCATTACTGAGAACCCCAAGAACAAGGAACTCGGCTCATTACTACACCACGCATCAAACATTACAGCACTCTATTTCCCCACACGCAGTAAGCTGCTTAGCTCAGCAGAGGACAGCACAATCGCCATCACACGGACCCGCGACTGGACAGCACTTTCCACCATCAAAGCACCAATACCCAAACCACAGGGACGTCCAAGCGGAGATACTGCCGGGCCCGGCGAGGTACCCGCCGGTATCAACGATTTTGCAGTCCACCCAAGCATGAAGCTCATGGTCAGCGTAGGAAAGGGGGAAAAGTGTATGAGGCTCTGGAATCTGGTCACTGGCAAGAAAGCCGGCGTACTTAATTTTGGCCGCGACATTCTCACCGCCGTCGGCGAGGGCCGTTTCGGTACAGGCGAAGGCAGGAGGGTGATCTGGGGTCAAGAGGGCGAGGAATTCGCCGTAGGCTTTGAGCGCGGCGTTGTCGTGTTCAACATTGATTCCAAACCCAAGGGCAAGATTTTGCCCCTGCCCCGGACCAAAATCCACCAGATGCACTACTTGCCATCAAAATCGCGCCCAGCCACGCTACTAGTTTCAACCGAAGACGGCAGGATACTTCTCTACGACACCAACACGACATCAGCCCAGGACGGCACAGAAGCAGACAAAAGCAAAGACGACATTCCATCCAGTAGACTAGTTGCTCAAATGGCAGGCCCGGCAGCAGGCATAAGTGGCCGTGTCAAAGATTTTGAAATCATTCCTACGTCAACAACAACTACCTACCTCATCGTTACCGGCAGTAGCGACGGAACAGTGCGCTTCTGGGCCTTGCACGAAGAGGACCTCAATGACGATACTGATGCAGCCAAGTCAAAGGAGGGTTTTGAGGCTCGACAGGTCGGTCGGTTACTCGGTTCGTATTCGACGGGTACGCGTATCACTTGCTTGAAGGCGTTTGCGATGACTGGTAAGCAGGATGACGGGGAAGAGGAAGAGGTTGTTATGAAGGAAGTGGTGGATAGCAGCGAGGACGATGGCGAAGAGACGGGATCTGAAAGCATCCATTGATGAAATGTGGCGTAGCAGCCAACCCATTTTGTTCTCAAAAAATAAATACCCGTTGCCGGTTGTTACATATCGCGCGCGACCGCAGTCACACCTGGCTGGTTTGCAACCAAATAATCATCCCATTAGGACCAGAACATTTCCCAAGACAGTTTAGTTGGTGCTTGTTCAATCTCATCAGGGTAGTCACATACATTGTACTACGCCTACATCCACTCTAAATCGGCCCTACAAATTCATGGTAACCGTCATACTATTACTATGCACCAGCAATACCGGCGGTAAGCCCTGACACAGGACTTCCAAATCACTCACATACTTTACGCTTTCCGCATCGCTCTCACATGTTCCCTCGATCGGGCTAGGCAGTGTCGTGAACACCACTGCCGTGTCGTCAGACTGCTGACGCAGTAGTTCATTGAGGATCAGATGTTGCGCGCGACAAGGGAGGTCATTAAAAGAGAGGGGAATGGCTCGCTGGGCGGGAAAGCCGGTGGCTGGGTTCGAGGCCGGAATTGTGGCGGAGGTTCGGGGACTACTGCTGTCTGTAGTGGGGTTTGAAGATGGGGAGACAGTCGTGAAAGGATCTGGTTTTCTTGCTGTCGTTTCTGGGGATGGTGTGTCGACGAACATGATAGAGGGTCCAGATGCTTCTTCTGATGCTACAGCTGCTCGAGGCGTGGGGTTGGAGGTAAACTTTGGTAAGGAACTGTGTTGCATCGACGGTGGCTTGACCGAGGACCCTGCACGAGGAGCAGTGGATAGCTGGGATGTGGAGCTCCCAACACTGCGAGATTTCTTGGATGAATGTGTCAGAATCGCTGTTTCAGAAGCAGTCGCACCAAGTTGCGGCCGTAGTGGTGCTGCCGTGTGGGGGTTTCTCTGGCCGTCTCTGAACGAGCTACCTTTCGGGGGATTTTTCCAAATCGCCTTTCTCAGGTCTAAAGTCCTAGGATATAACTGCGTTCCCGTTGTTGTCTTTGACCTTTGTAGCGACATCTGTGAGCCACCGTTGACACTACCATCGTCACTCGATGCATCGAGATCGTATTCGTCGAAGTTGTTGCCGCTAACCGCTGCTTCACTTTCAGAGGCCATGGCTTCGTCATCAGCACCATCATTTGCATTCCCACCATGCTCTCCGATTGAAGAGCTAGTCGTATCGCTATCGCTGTCGGTGAGAAGATCGACAGTCATTCGCTGGCTGGGCACCGCTTTTGTAGAACCAGCATCCTGCAAATCGCCCATAGGTGCTCGCTTCTTCGCTTTTCGAAGCATCTCCTGCAGCGCTGCAAAGCGCCTGGGTTTTGATTCTCGTCTACCGTGTTGAAAAGATGCTATTGGCCAGTTGGTGACGGCTTCAAGGATGTCTACAGTGCGATCAATTTCTTGGCTATCGCTCATATCATTCGGTCTTCGGAGGCGCTTGATGTCTTGCCACCAACGCTCGTCCTCTAACGAACAATCAACGTCCCGGGCAATCTGATCATACTCGTCTTCGTCCCGGCCATTGATGATGACCTCGTACATGCTCAAATCTCCGCTTGCGAGCCAGAAAACAAGGACCTGGTATAGTCAGTGTCAATCCTTACTCAAAGTCTCACTCGTTCGGACCAACGTACTTCGGCTTCAATGCGAAGATTCCGTAACAATGTAGTGACGCGCTCTCGTTCTTCCTCAACATCCGTCTCATACTCCACAAACACGCACACCCTGAGCTTATATGCTCGCTTCCACGATGGCACTGTATGTAGAATACAACCAAGTTGAAGAATGAGTGTATATGTATCGAAATTAGTTGTCAATACGTTCTTTCGGCTAGGCTCGTCACCAGCAGTGGCAACCTCAGCCGACATCTGAATGGGCCAAAGATCAATGTATGTCTTGCTTGGCTCGTCGACCTCAATCTCTGCCAGTCCTACCATTTGGAATGCTCTTTCTCTCACTGTCGGTTTCGCAGGCGGCACTTCAAGGTCCTTAAATCCTCTACCTATAGCCACATTTGCTTGCAGACGCAATACGAGATCTTCGATGATAGTAACGTAACTCCGGATTCCGATTGCATCTTCGGGTCGCATTGCATCCGTAGGCAGCAGTCGATGCGCGTCACTTGTGACTCGTTTTCTCGTGCGTACTTTTGTTGCTTTGTGAGTGGCGGACGAGTCCGTAGCTTTACTGGACTGTCGAGCTGGTTGGGGAGATGGCATGTCATTGGTAGGCCGCGTTTGCCGTAGTTCCGGGAGATTGTACAGTCCCATTACCACAATGTTTGGCCTCATCCCGCCCAGTCCAGCACCAAGAACCAAGTTGCGTGCACCCCACTCCACTGTGGGAGAGATGGCGATATTGACAAATGCTTTGATTTTCGAGAAGTCAATGTATTTGGCCCAGGATTGCTGTTGCCTCCTTGCTTCTGGCACAGCAGATGCAAAGTCCTCAGTGACAATGACATGGCCAAGAACAAAGAGACCTCCTTTCTTCAGAGAATTGCAAAACTGTTGCCAGTTAAAAATCGGCCACCGTTGCATGGAACGAAGATTGGCTTACCTGAATTAGCTTGTATTGTCGTCTTGGATCATTGACGAGAAGCAGTATCTGCGGTCTCCAGAACTTGACATGTTCCTGACGCAAGCGCAAGAGATATTTTCGAGTTTGGTGATAAATGAGCCCTTGACTGACGTCTCCCCATGGCTTCGGCGGAGTCGTGTAATGGATCAGCAGGAAGATCATCAGGAGTAAGGCGATGCAGGCAGATGCATAAAATCCATCGACAAAAAACATCGTAACACCACATGCGACTGTTCCAAGTGCCGCCGTCTGCCAGTTGAACCATTGGAAAGATGGTCGGAAGTTTGGAGCAGACCCAATTTTGAGTAGAAAACACGCTAGATTCGTAACTAAGAAGGTCATGAGATACTGTCGAGGTTAGCAGATCAAGGGTTTGTGGCACACTTTATGAGATGTAGTACGGGGAATGGGGATGGGGCTACCCACTGTCATCGTAATGAAGGATGCAATCTGGTTGATATCGGCAAACATGGTGATTTGAGCGATGATGTACGTGATGAAGATGGCGTAGATGGGCTCATCCGACTTCTCTGTCCCTTGCCCAAACAGCGAGAGTCCAGGGATCAAACAATCTCGAGCCAATGCCTGTAACAGTTTGGCCGAGCCAATAACACCCATGAGGACGGAGAAGAGGGATGTTGCGACTTCACCAGAAAGTATTATCGCCGGCGAAAGATTGGTCAACTGGATGACGTTCGTGTTCCTGTAGAAGGTGTCGCGTGTTATGCTCGCAGCCATGGCAAAAATGACCATAGTGTACAGAACGAAGGTCAAGGCAATACCATATAGAGTTCCCTTTGGAATGGCCTTGCTCGGATGCTTCAAGTCACCCGACATACTGGCGCCTGCGAGAATACCTCCTGTTGCTGGGAACAAGACGCCGAATAGGTGTTGAAAACTTTCTTTGTGCTTCCCTGCACTTCCAGCAGCGCCTCTGGTGAAGTGTGGAAACAAGTTCTGGCGGAAGGTATCCGCATTAAATCCAGTGAAGGCAATTTTCTCCTTGACATTGACAAACGGTTGCTGAACTGCGGCAGAGAGTGGGATGCTCATTATGGCAACCAGCAGGACAATTAGCAGGCCATTACTACAGCGAGCGAATAGTCCACTTCCGGCCAAGCAGATGAAGGTGCACGCGGCCAAGACCAACGTTGCCCACAAGAATTGCCACCAGAAGCTTTGAGGCAACCACTCGGCCATGTCGCCGCCATGGACACCAAAGTTTTCAATCAGGCAATTGACCAGACCGACGGCGTTGAGCGAAGTGCTGAAGACCGATCCAAGGTAGTAGACTATGCCAATCGACCCACCGAATTCCGGGCCCAAACTCCTTGAGATGAGGTAATAGGCACCCCCTCCGCGAACAGTGCCATTGGTGGCAATGGCTGAAATGCTCGAGGTGGTGAGCAGATTGATCATGTAGGCAGCAAGCAGCATGCCTGTGTCGATTAGTATAGGTAGTGTCTTCTGACTGAAGCGCACGGGTACCGCTTACCCATCATTCCGAGCAGGCCTGCTTGACCCAAAAGGAAGCCAAAGCGCAGGAACATTAGAATGCTCAACACATTCAGTGTTACGGGCACAAAGACACCAGCCAGTGTGCCCAGCTTCCGGGTACCTCCCACGGGTCTGGGAACTGCCCCTGGCCTGGGCTTGGACAGGTCACTCGCAGCATTTGGTTTGTCCTTTTGAGCAGCGGATGTATACATGGACTGCCATGGATGCAGCAGTATGGAGAGCCAGCCGGTCAGGGCGCTTCGTCGGTGGTCGAATGTGTGAGCTCCATGGGGGCCAGGAGCAGGCGTACGTCGATGGTGGTCTGGAAGAAGCGGGGTCTCTTCATCCTCTGTGGGTGACTGCCTGGCGAAGGAACGTCGATGTAATCGCTGGGTATCCTCTCTTGGTGTGCGAGTTGGCAAAGTCGGATCGTGTGCTTGAGGGTAGAGGCGTGGTTGGCTGCTGGATCTGGCTGGCATCGGTCATGTTATGGGAGAGGGGATCCTAGTTTACTGGCACGAGGTATGAATTCTGGTCAACGGGTAGGTACGTACCTCCTAACGCGCCTATACTGTGTTTGGCTATTTGCGGCTTTCCGAGAGACGCAGGGCGCCAGATGCGTCAAGCGCGGAAGGAGGCGGACAGTGTTTGGATGTAGTTGACAGTAAAAAAGAGGTGAGGGACGCCGGGGTGACATCAACAGCACATGCATCGTGCATGGGTGCTACTGTACATAGTTACTAGTCCTATGCACCTTGAAGCCTATGTACCTACCTAGTAGTACCGTACCTATCAGACCAACCGGCACCGATGGTAGCAGCAGTAAGTAGGGGTATAGGTGGTGGTGTGTGTGGTCTGTTACGGTGCTCTACCTACCTACTACCAGTATACGTGTTTCAGGCATGTATGCTTGCTTCCCTTTTGAATGTGGCGTTGGGTGGATTATGTTATGATGCATCCATAGAGTACTTGTCCATGCCTTGGCGGCACCCACAGTCCCTACTGTACCGGTAGGTAGTAACAGTAAGAACATATGGTAGTATTTTCGCGGCAGGGGTCCCAGCTTGCAGGTGACAAGACACAGACAATTCTCAACCCCCCACGGGACCCCCCACGCGGCAGCAAATGCAGGTGACCTCAGTGGCTGCTCTTTCCTGCTGCCGCCCAAATGGGCACAGTTCCCCCCCCCCCCCCCCCGAAACGGCGCCTTCCTGTGGACCTGCGCTCGCTGTCAACGTTCGTGTTCTAGAGTTAGTACTAGGTATGGGGACAATGCTAGGTAGGGTAACCCAGCTGTACTCTACATACATACATACATCAAACTACCTACCTGCCTACCTGCCTACCTGCCTACCTGCCTACCTACCCACCTACTAGAGAGCACTTACCGCTACCTACCTAGCCTACTCCTGTGCCAACTGCCCTCCCGACTCTCCCTTCTGCACACTACCGGTACCCTACCACACTTCCTCCAAGCTGCTGTCTCGTCGGGAAGCACCTCGGCATGCACACCGAAAAGTCGACCTGATTTTGCATCCTTCATTCATAGTGCTTTCTCTATTCGTAGTGTTTTCTCTATTCATATTACTCCTTCCCTCCATCCCTCCAGCCAGCCAGCCAGCCAGCCAGCCAGCCAGCCTCCGTTTTTATCGTAGCTGCTCAGGAAGCCGCCCCAAAAAACAGAGTCGCTTTGCCGACATTACACGCCTATAGCCGGACCAGTTCTGTCCAGGGCCTTTCTTGCCTTGCAAGCTGGTTAGCGTGGCTTACGGATCAACCAGCCAGGAAGCTTCACACCAGCTGTAACGAGACATGGGAAAACAGACAGACATGTCCAACTCCAAGGCCGTCTCCTCATCGTCGCGCGATTCCGGCCGCACCTCGCCAGCAGAAGCTCAGCCAGTGCCTCGCGCAAACTCCATTGCCCGCCTGGGCTCGCCCGTACCCTCGTTCGCAACGGGCTCTGTCCCCGTGCGACAAATACCCACGCCAGCCCAGCTCGAAGACTCGCCCGCAGCCCAGACACCGCTCCCCGGCCGTCCCGACCAGCAGTCGTCTCTTCCTGGACCCTCCGAGTCTGCTCTCTCCTCTGCCCTCAAAGAGTCCTTCGGCAACAGCCCACCGCGTTTTGGCACTCCGCCCCTACAACCGCTCTCCCCAGCCCAGCAAGCCCCTTCGGCTCGTGGGCCGCCGAGCAATTACGGATCTTTCGATGGCCGAGGCCGTTCGCCTGTGCCGTACGAGGACCCTGAGATTGTCCGCCGTCACCTCGTCGGCCAGTATGCATCGCCCAGCCGATCGAACCGCGGCCGTATCGGCGACGAGGATGCACAGTCTCAGAGCGCAAAGGGCGCAGAAGAGGACGAGGAAGAGTTCTCGAGCCTGCAGCTCCAAGGCGGTGACATTACGAGACAGATATACCGATGGAGTGAGCAGCAGCAGGCTGAGGAGCAGGGCCGCATGCAGCGCAGCAAGAGTTTTCACGGTCCACGGAAACGTCCCGAGGACGAAGTGCTGGACATCGACTCCATCAGGCAGCCGGGAGGCTTCAGGCGGAATTACCTACGCAGAGCGGCTGGTAGTCCCTCGCCTGCACCTGGGCCGTCCGGCTATGGCACCGTTGGCCAGCCTCGTCCTCCGCCCCAGGTCTTCACAAGCAACTTTCTCGAGTTCCTGACCCTGTACGGTCACTTTGCTGGTGAATCACTGGAGGAGGATGACGAAGTCCTGGGACCCGATGAGTACTTTTCCTCGGATGCCCTAGACTCCGGAGTTCACTCGGAAGACGAGGATCGCGAGTATGGCGAGTCGAGTGCTTTGCTCACGCCAGGCAAGCGTAGGAAGCGCAAGCCAAAGAAGACTGGTACGGGTAGCCCCACGGGCGCTGCCATGTTGCTTCTCAAGTCCTTTGTTGGCACTGGCGTCCTCTTTCTCCCTCGCGCCTTTCTTAACGGCGGTATGCTCTTCTCGAACCTTGTCCTCCTGGGCGTCGCGGGCCTATCCTACACTTGCTTCGTCTTGCTGGTCTCCACTCGACTCGTCGTTGAGCATTCGTTTGGCGACATGGGTTTCCATCTCTATGGAGACTGGATGCGCAACCTCATCAATTTCTCACTCGTCATCTCCCAGATTGGTTTTTCGTCGGCCTATATCGTCTTCGTTTCGGAGAATTTGCAGGCCTTTGTGCTGGCAGTGTCCAACTGCAGAACCTTCATTGACATCAAGTATCTGATCATGATGCAGATGGTCATCTTCTTGCCTCTCTCGCTCTATCGCAACATCAACAACATCCAGAAACTCGCACTAGTGGCAGATCTCTTCATCCTGATGGGACTAGTCTATCTGTACTATTATGATTTGTTCACCATTGTCAACCAAGGCGGTGTTTCCGACATTGTCAACTTCAATGCCAAGGACTGGACCCTGTTCATTGGTACCGCAATCTTCACCTTTGAGGGCATTGGTCTCGTCATCCCGATCCAAACGGGCATGAAGGACCCGAAGAAGTTTCCCAAGGTTCTTGGAGGGGTCATGATCATCATCACCGTCATCTTCCTGAGCGCTGGAGCGTTGTCGTACGCAGCATTCGGTTCCAAGACCAAGACCGTCGTGCTCCTCAACATGCCGCAGGACAACAAGTTTGTGAATGGTGTTCAGTTCATCTACTCGCTTGCCATTTTACTCTCAACACCGTTGCAAATCTATCCTGCCATTGAGATTACAAGCCAGCAACTCTTCAGTCGCACAGGCAAGTACAACCCGTACGTCAAATGGAAGAAGAACTTTTTCCGCTTCTTCATGGTCTTGGTGTGTGCATGTCTTGCTTGGGCGGGCGCGGGCGACCTGGACAAGTTTGTGAGTCTTGTTGGCAGTTTTGCGTGTATCCCGCTGGTCTTTATTTATCCCGTAAGTACACCCACCCTTCTTCTCTACATGGCTACAGGAACTGACCGTGCCCTAGCCTTTACTGCACTACCGAGCTTGCGCGCGGACAACGTATGCGCGCGCACTAGATGTTGCTTTATGCATTGTTGGCGCAGTGGGCATGATTTACACCACATCTCTCACTATTCAGAGTTGGGTTCACGGTGGTGCCCCCAAGGCTCCCGGCTATTGCGATGGTAGATAGACGCCCGAACCTACCTATCCATATTGATTTGCTCATATCTTCATCGCTAAGAATAGTATCGCAAAGGGCAGCAGACAGCGTGGAGTTGGAGAGACATAAAAATAGTTGGGCAATGGTTTAGAATTACATGATCTGTACATACGGCTTCTCGGATCGCCAATCCTGACTTTTGCGGGTCCGTAAATAATCAATGTACTTATGATATTGCTGTCATGGGCAGGTGAAGATGGGAGAGCCGCGGATACTTTTACGCGCTTACTGGATGGCAAATGATATCATTCATCTCGTATATATACATATATATATATGTGTGTGTGTGCAGACGATGACAGATTCAGGACGGGTAGCCAGACAGCATCATTCTACCACCCACGACATGCACATAGATAGCCTTGAGCTATGTACATGCAGGGCGCGAAGAGGCCGCATTGGTACTGGTGACAAGTCTGATGGCGAGGCTGAAGCTGCGGCTGATGAGAATGGCGCTGCATTAGCGGCATGTCTCGTATTCACAACCAGCTTCAAAGTTCAGGCGGTCAAGATAGTGTAGCTAGGTATGCAAGTAAAACGATGGACTAGGTAGCCGTCATACGATATGATGAATGCAGATTCGCCTCCCGTCGTGGTGCAGGATCAACAGAGGAGAGCGGTAGAGGACCAAGATGTCTTGGTACCCTCCTACCTAGGTGCCCATGTTGTCTTGTCATCTTGTATCGGCCGCCAGAAAGGTCTTAGATGGCATGGTTGAGCTTGTGTTCAAGTGTCCAATGCGAAGCTATACCTAAAAGAGCATGTCGTTACTGACGCAACGTGTCGAGCATTTGCTTGTACAGTACATACACAGTAGTCCCACCTAGCAGAATGGCAAAGTCTTGTGGGCAAGCAATCCATGCCCTCAACTTTTTCCTAGTATCGACTTTCTAGATCCTAGACAAAAGCCTGTTACCGGCACTCGAAGACTCTTTCACCACACCATGGAAGGTGGCAACGGGTTGCCAACTACCTCTGTACCTACCTACCTAGGTACACGAATCGCTAGCTGCCGAGGAGTACATAGATACCTTGGCAGCATCCATGGTCAAGACTCAACAGAGACTTCACGGCTGGGATTTATGGTTATAGATAGGAAGACGGTCGAGAAAATAGCCCTAATGCTGCTATTTTCAGCTGCTGCGCCTTCTGGTCCCTGAAACGAGAGTATAGCGGGCGATCAGAGCAGGTGCAACGGGCGCCCGCCATTGGTGGACGACGGAGGCGGGGAATCCACATGTCCGATCGTAGCCCTGTCGGCAGGAAAAAAGAAATGACGAAATAGGGGAACGAGAGAGCGAGGTTGCAGAGAGTCAGAGACTGGGAGTGAGCCTGTTACCCGACAATGCAACTGTATCTACATAGTACATACTCTAGGTAGAGTGGTAGTGGTACTCTAGTGGTAGTGGTAGGGTAGGGTAGGGTAGGTACGGCCACTGTGGTGCGTGCGAATCTTTTGTTGGCGGGGGGGTGGAGACGAAAAGTAGAGATTCAAGGACGGTTGAGGCGAACGCCACAGGCCGCTGCGTATGGCTGCTTTGGCGAGCGACTGCAGCTAACAGAGGGGGAAGAGTGGAGAGGGCAACACTGGGGTGCTTGGCCTGAAAGATATAAAGTCAAACAACCAACACCGCCTTTTGCTCTTCTCACACCATCTATCCTTCACAGCGACCCATACCCTTGACTTGATTGCCAATTTCCTCTCCCACCCCACAAATACCACCCCACCTGACAATCGTTTCTCTGCACGCCTACTATAGTCCATTCGTTACTTCGCCATGTGGTGAGTTTGCCTTCCCCTCCCCGTCCCCCCCCCACCCCGCCCTCGAGGGGTACGCATGGTGTTGCACAAAGAAAGCAAGAACTGACAAACAATGCGTGCAGCGGTATCTTCGGTTACATCAACTACCTGGTGGAGAAGGACAGGAAGTACATTCTCGACACATTGATCAATGGTAGGCTTTCCTGACCCCCTCCGTCTTTCCTTCCGAGCTGTCGGCAATGCTCTGGTGGGGCCCTGGCAGCTAGTAGTAGTAATAGTGGCTAACAGCTGGCTCCCACAGGTCTGCAACGCCTAGAGTACCGTGGTTACGACTCGGCCGGTCTCGCCATCGACGGAGACAAGAAGAACGAGGTCTTTGCCGTCAAGGAGGTCGGCAAGGTCGCTTCGCTCAAGAAGCTGGTCGAGGAGCAGAACTTTGACCTGACCAAGGTCTTCGACTCACACGCCGGTATTGCACACACTCGGTGGGCCACTCACGGCCCACCATCGCGTGTCAACTGCCATCCCCACAGCACG